TTCGAATCTGTTCGAATCGAATCGAATCAATCCGAATTCGAATCCGTTCGAATTAAATTATATATTCGAATCAGTTCAAATCGAATCAAATCAAATCAAATATAGAAGTTTGCCTAAACTAAAATGTGATGATGCCGAAACTCGAAAAAAAAAAGGTTGTAGAAACTAATACTCCGAAACTCAATCACTATGCCGAAACTGCGGCATGTTGCCGAAACTCAATCACTATGCCGAAACTGCGGTTTGTTGCCGAAACTACAAATGAATGCTGAAACCATAATGCTGAAACTACAAACAAATGCTAAAACTCAATTAATATGTCAAAACTATTTATATGGAATTTTTAATGGTCAATATATGTAAACATTTCAAAGTAAACTAATTACCAAAAATTTTATTGTTTATTTTTGCAAAATATTTATGCTATGATTTTAAAAATATGTTAATTATTTACATGAATTAAAAATCAATATTATTCTGCAAAAGATTTGAAGATTCTTGATGAATATAATTAGATTATTTATTACAATTCTATCACTATTCAGAATTTGAATTATTGAAAATTGGGTCATCCAAGCTTACAACATCTTCTATACTTAATTGATGATCTATTCTGTTATCTTGAATTTCAATGTCTTCATGATCACTATCACTATTATAATTTTCTCCATAATCTTCATCTATTTCATCAGGAAGTTTATTACTATCATAGAGGGCTTCAATACAAGCCTTTTTAATATCATCCTCACTCATATTTTCACCATAATAATTGAAAATCTTTTTACTATTAGAAACATAGTAACAGTGCATTTTTGTCAGGTTTTCCACAGTTTGAGTATGTAGTCTGGATCTCCTTTGATTATAATACCACTTGAGTACAGAAAAAACTCTTTCTGATGCAGCAGAATGAGGACAAATAGAGAATAATTTTAATGATAAGGTTTGTAAATAATCATAGTTGTCTTCAATTGTCAACCACCAACCAATTGGTGTATCATTAACACCATAGTTCATGTCATAAGGGTCATTTTTTAGCTTGTAATTTCTCATTTGTGTAAGTAGCTCAGTGTAAGATTCTTCATCATTTCCCATTTGTCTCCAATAATTTCCAGCAATAACTGTTAAAACTTTAAATTGTCCTTTTTTTATACCAATTCCTAGAATAAAAAATACAGATAAATAATGTGAGAACAAATTTTTATTGCATTTAATATTTAATATAATTATTGGTTATTTAAAAGTACAATTACTTGCCTCTGTATTTAGGGTGAAGAAAATAACACAAAATAAAACCTCCAAAATTACCAAAGTCATGCCATCTTTTGTTAAAAATATCTATGCAGTATTGTTTAAACACTTGATTATTATCAGATAATTTCTTAATTGAAGCACCTATTTTACAAATTTGTAAAAAACAATCAGCAAGAGTAGTATTTTTTGCTTCTAAAAATGTAACAGCTTCTTTAATAGGTTTAAGAATTGTTGAAATTAATTGAATATCATCAAAAAAATATCTTGATCTTAACAAATTTTTAACATCATTGTTCGTAATAACATCAGAATGTTCATATATGATCTATAAAATAATAACATAACAAATAATTATAATTAATAAATATAAAAAGGAAAGGATATATGTGTTATAAATATGTAAAAAATATAAATTCTTTTTTGCTAGAAAAAAAATTCTAAAATATACATATATATATATGTATGTATATATATATATACATACATACATACATACATACATACACTGAATATAAAAAAAAATTTATATATTACCCAATTAAAACAACTTTCCAATCTTAAAATGGATGAAGTACAATCATAATAAGTTGACCACCTAGTTTTACATCCTGATTTTAATCCACCACCTAGAATATTTAAATTCTTAATCCCTTCATGTAATAAAGCATTTGATTGGTGTGATTTTTCGAAATAAGTAACAATCTTTTGGCAATTTTTTAATATATTATATCCCCAAGGAAATTTTATTTTGCTATCTGCTATATCTTTTGTAAGTAGGTTAATTGCACCTGAGATTCATAATATGAGGATATTTGGTGGTTATAATTTCTCTGGCAAGTTTAATGTTAGCAGCCCATCAGTAACAATAGCGCCAAATCTTTTATTTCCAATTTGTTGAATAACTTGATCAATCTGTTCAGCTAAAAAGTTTCCTGTATGGGATTCCAGAGAATAATCATTTAACTTCCATAGATATTCTTTTTTTGTAGGTGTTTGAATTACAAAGTTATAAATTGATTTTCCTAATGGGTTTGTCCAGCCATCTATGGCTTTAAAAAATATAATTGCAATCATATAAATAAATAAAACTATGGATTCAAAAATTCACTATATAAATAAATTATAATTTGAAATTAAACCAAAATTCAGTTATCAATTACTCACTAAGTGTTAAGTTGTTAGTTTTTTCCAATTCATTTATGATTTTTACATTAATGATAGCAACTTCTTCCTCAACCAAAGTCTCTTTTAATTTAATTCTTGATGGTAAATTATAGGATGGTTTAAGATTTTTAACAAAATCAATGAAGAAAGGATTTTCTACAACACCAAATTGTATACCACAACAGGAAACAAATTTTGCTAATGACTTATCAATTAGATTTTTTTTTTGTTCAGAAAGTTTCATATTATCAAGATATTCTTCCATGCTTTTTTGTGTATTAGAATTTTTTGTTTTTTGTTTTTTTGTTTTATTATCATCTAGTTCAATTACATTATTTTTTCTCGTTACAATTTCCAAAAATTTTTTTCTAACTTCACGCTCAACTTCAATACATTGATTTGCTAGATGAATTTCCAATCTACTAGGATAAGCCCTATCCCATCTATGATGACAATATTTACAAGTTGCTTCATAATGGCCTTTGGTTTTTTCATCTCCTTTTGTAAAATGGGTCCAAACTTCCGACAATGGTCTACCACCAGCATGTTTTCTTTTGTTGTTTGACAATTCTGATGTAATTGATGAAATTTCATATATATCATCATTTTCTTGTTGAAAATAATTATCTAATGTTTCTTGATCGGATGCCATTATTTTAAAATTTTTTCAAATAAATTTTTACTATTAAAATATCCCACACACAAGTGACATATCACATGGTAATAAATCCAAAAAAAAAAATTTAATTATTTTCATGGAAAGGTTATTTAATAGATGGGTGTAATTATTCAAATTAAATCATTTTGATCATTATTAAATTGTAATGTTAATATATAACAAAAAAAATTATTATTATAATTAATACCAATACTGACATTAATTATTGGTAAAGTAATATTATCAATATTCATTGGTTACACAAAGGCTTACACATTTTATAGTTTCAGCACATAGATTTAGTTTCGCACATAGATTTAGTTTCGGCAAAGATAATTATGCCTAAACTTTCGGCATTTTGCTTGCTTGAAAACCAAAACTAAATTTTTTAATTTGCCGAAACTATTGCCGAAACTTAGTAGTTTAGGCAAACTTCTATAGAATCAAAGTAATTTATAGGGCCTAGTACTAGGCCACAAACCACACAGCCAACCACGTTATTCCATTTAAAATTAGTATTTAGGTTTAACAGGGTTGACTACACAGTTGTGTATTTTATTAAAAAAAATTTTTTTAAAATAAAAAAATCTATTTTACTGTTTTTAGAAATAAACAATAATTCTATATATCTAAATTTATTTGTTTATCTGTTATAGTATGATCAAATAAATTTTGGATTTCCAATTAGACATTTTAAAAAAAT